TGCGTACGGCGTGGACACGGACGGTCGCACAAATTTAAGCACAGCTGGGTGGAAGAGCTTCCTCGTTGACAAGAATCTTCATGTTGGACAGGCCATCCTTATTACTATCAGGAAGATCAACCGTCAAGGCTTGAAGATGATGATCGTCATCGATATCATCTAAACTATATATGCGTGTGGCTGCTGATGATCGTCATGTTTGATTGCTACCTATTTTGGCTTCGTGAAACTATTTGGATGTGATCAAACTATGTTATGATTATGTCTATGAAATTGTGATCAAACTATGTTATGTTTATGTCTATGAAATTATGATCAAACTATGTTATTTGGTACTTGTTTCTTAATCTGTAATGGCAAAACTAATTATGCTTATGACTATGAAATTGTGCCTATTGGTTCTTATGTTCAGGGCCCTTGCATATTTCTATGAAATTGTGATCAAACTATTTGGATGTCTATGAAATTGTGATCACACTATTTGGATGTGATCAAACTTCTTATGTCTACAAAATTTTACACGAAACACAGGACCCTACCGCCAGGCTCCCTGGCGGTAGGGTCAGACAGCCTACCGTCGTGAGCCCTGGCGATAGCGGTAGGGTGAACCTATCGCCAGGACGCTTGCATATCTCGTTATAGAAGGCATGCACGGCAAAACCCTGCCACACCTTACCGCCAGAGCCGTTGGCGGTAGGGTTAGACAGCTTACCGCCAGGTTGTCTGGCGGTAAGGTACTTATCCACGTCAGCGCGCGGTGACGGCCCCCGTCTCCCTCCGTCACACCCTACCGCCAGGGTATCTGGCGGTAGCCTGTCTAACCCTACCGACAGGGGCTCTGGCGGTAGCAAAAGGGTCAAATTCCGAATTTTTTTCGAACGGGGTCAGATCTTGATTTTGTTTGAAAAAAGGGTCAAAACACGAAATTCGACCTCACGTGGTTACATGAGCCCGTGGCGCGTGACGCTCACCGGTGACCTGGGGTCCTGTGCTCAGTCAAAACGAATGCTAGGCGATGAGACTAAGAGCACCGGATTATCATTGCCGTATTCTATCGTTCATGGAATCAATCATTCGTGGCTGAGGTTTGCGGTCGGTCTGTGGAGCACAATGTCACCTCACTTTCTATCATTTGCCTTGGATCTTTGTTTGACCCGGGTTTGTCAGGCGGCCAGGGTAGTAGGTGGTTTTGCTTTGCATCCACTCCAGGCCCCAGTCCAGTACAGTGGCGAGATGCACATGCAGGTGGTGCTTATGTAAAAGGTCAATACTAATCGCTGCATGACAAATAGATGTAGGAGTACTCCCTCCGTCACAGTTTAGAAGTCACAGTTAAATTTACGTGCGTTTCCACAATAGAAAAGATTTAGGGCACATTGCATTTATTTCTAGTAGCTAATTAGTACTCCGGAGTACTATTTCTATATGTATGCGTAGTGTGAATGCTATTTTTTAGCCCATCTTACAACCAATAGATAACCACCTAGATCCCAGAGAATTTCCAAACGCGCCTTCTAAACCGTGACGGAGGAAGTAGTTAAGTTATGAGTCAATTACTCCGGTGGTGCTAGAACTTGACGTAAACGGTCGCTTTAGTGCTACAACTTGTGGAATACATCGAAGTGGTGTAAAAACTTGGCTTGGACGTCCAAATACGGTGCTAATCACGTTTGTATATGTCCACGACGTTGACGAGGCATGCTAGCGTGGCGTGGGCCCGTTTGTCAGTGACCCAACAATGAAGACAAGGCGTGCGGCATGCTTTTTTGCATGGAAACCTTTTATTTTTTTCATATAGAAAAGTTGCTGACAAGCGGGTCCCAGCTATCTGCAGCACAAATTTTAATTGAATGAAATTAAAGGTATGCTCAGGTTTCCAACCTGAGCAACTTCAAGTTCCGTACTCGTGAAGTTAGCCAGCCAACCCATTCACCGTTCATGTACATTAAGGAAACACTGGCTATATTTTTGCCAAAAAAAAGGAAACACAAGCTATATATCTTCAATTGAATAAGAAAAAGAAGAAAATATAGTAAACAAGATGCAGCCGCAGAGACTCGAACCCTGAGCGTACCCTTAGCTTTTTAAAAAAATTCAAAATTTTGTTTTTTTCCAAAATTTTATTAAAAATAGAATTATATTTTTAAATAATATACATATAAATAAAATAAATAACGTTAAGTAAATGCTCATGTAGTTTCATAAAATGTTCACCTATTATATAAAAGTGTCCAGTCTTTCAAAGAATTGATTTGTTTTAAAAGTGCTCATGTGATTTTAACAAAGGTTTTTTTATGAGATGTTTTCTAATAAAGTTTGTGTGTTTTCAAAAAAAGAATTTATATAACTAAAAATATAAATATATGTACAAAGACTTTGTTCCTCAAATGAATACATAATTAAAATTATATGTATGCTATTTATAGTTATAATTAATTTTTATTACAAACTGCAAAAAATAAAAATAAAATAGTAACATATTAAAAATAGGGCACACTAACTGACAAACTGTTGTCAGTTTTGGCCCATGAGCACGTTCTGTTATAGAGTAAATTGTAGCATTGTCTAAAAATTGTAAAGAGTAACAAACCTTTGCAAATTTGTGTTGTTTAATTAAAGAATATTCACCTAAAAATATTAAAGAATATAAGGTTGTGTATCCTCTTCAGAGAACGAGCATGATCTTCGTTAGGTGGTTCGCAGCGGACACGTTAATTGGAGGTCACTGGTTTGAAACCTAAGCGCACCTTTTTTCTGTTCAATTATTATTTTTGCTGCTGACAGCTAAGACCCGCCTCTCAGGATCTTTTTGGTGAAAAAAATATATAAGACAAGGGGGTTTCTAGGAAAAAGGAAAACAAAAACACGCCTTGTCTTCATTGTTTGGTCACAGACAACGGGTCCTACGCCATGCTGACAGGTCTCGTCAGTGTCGCAGACGTATACAAACATAATTAGCACCGTATTTGCACGTCTGAGCCAAGTTTTTGCATCACTTTAATGTATGCCACAAGTTCTAGCACTAAAGTGACCGTTTACACCAAGTTCTAGCACCACCGGTGTAATTGACTCTTAAGTTATCCTTGTGTTCTGGCGGCTGCTTTGTGGTGTCAATGTCAACTCGGTGGCGGATGGATCTTCAGATTTCAACCCATGGTGACGGCCATTATCGGCCCGCTTTTTTTTTACATAAATCCATTTGGCCCAACGATATAAGGTGTTGATACACTATAAGTAGATTATTAGCACAGAATAATCTACTTACAATGTACTCCTAGATAATTGTATGTGTTACTCAGTACTCGCAGTGATGAATTCAAGTGACACGAGGGTTCTATCTAGGAGTACAAATAACAACTCTTTTGCCACATAGACGTTTTTCTTCTTCTCTTTTTAGAAGTTTTGAGTGAAGGGTGTGACTTGGACTTGCCACACAGACGATGATGTGCAGTTCAGGTGCTAAAAACCACTTCAAATGTGTCACGTGACCAAAGACTGCTTTAGGCTATATTTATTTTGTAACTTCCAAGACATACTTTTTTTGAACGCAGTTAAATACATACTCCCTCTGTAAACTAATATAAGAGCGTTTAGATCACTACTTTAGTGATCTAAACACTCTTATATTAGTTTACGGAGGGAGTATTTTGAGGGAGGAGGTCAAAATCACTTTTTAGCAGATAGCTTTACATTTTATATCCGTTTAACCTAAACCTATGGGCCATCCAGATCGTATCCATCCTAATATCCTATGGCTTCCAGGAATGGTACCATGAAAACTTGAGTGTACCTGCAAATGCATTGAAGGGCCTTTTATGAAAGCCTTCCGCACAGTGTAGCAGAAAAAACTACATGTTGATGGTGCCATGGAGGCATTCACTAACCATTTTCAGAGCATTTTTGGCCAAACATTCGGTACAGAATCGAGGCAAAAATGTTGTATGATCAGGTAAACATGTTTGCCCACTCATTCCGCCTGTGAAACACGACGGAGGAAATGATATTCAGGCTGCCAAAACAATTGGGCCCAACAATGAAATGGAGCACGGCAAGGCCTGGCCCGCCCAGAACCAGTCCAAGATGTTAAACAGCTCAGCTTCCACTGATTTATCGTTCACAAAGAGCCACCGCGATTCACAAAGTTGATCAAGTTTACAAGAGATGTCGATCCACAATGAACATTATTACAATGAACCAAGCGAATGGCAACGGAAAGCTCTTTTCCCTTGTTCCTTATCTCTGAATCTGTTTGGCTTAGGCCCCTCCCCAACAATAGCATCTATGTAGTTCCCCTAAGTGCTCTACTTCTCGATTACTCTAGTTCCCTACTGAGTCCGAGGCCTGCTTCTCAAACTCCTCGACGTATCTCGCAAAGTTGAGGATGATTCTCTTGCCTTCAGGGGTGATGATACTCTCTGGGTGGAACTGGACCCCCTGAAAGAGTTACATTATAATCTATCAGTTAGTACTACCATGACAACCACGGCATGAAGCATGGAGCTAAGAAATACCTGGATATGCTTGTACTTCTTGTGGCGGGCGGCCATGATAAGTCCATCTTCAGTCCATGCCGTGATCTCCAGTTCGTCGTGTGGGAAGCTTTCCTTCTCAATGACCAAGCTATGATATCTTGCAGCGGTAAAAGGGCTGTCCATGCAAGTGATCGAGGATCATGTCAAATCAAAAGGCTCACTTTGGACAAGTGCCAGACTGAATAAGGAAACAAAAAGAAATTTATTCCCTGATAAAAAAAACTCTACTCCGGCTAAAATTCTATCATCAATACTACTCTGACTTACCATAGCATGGCACATGCTACAGAATTTCTCAAGACAAAAACAAGTGCTCTAAACAGGTAAACAGAGCCCAACAGCATTCGTAAATCCTAATTATCATAAAAAATCAGAAGCAATCATGAGATGTGTGTAATTTAATGTTTGCAATACCGGTGTCGGTTGACTGTTATGTAATGTAAGCTAGAACCGAAATATCTATGGGATTTACTGAACTGTCGAGAAATCATACTTTGACAAGCCCTCGAATATGGCCTTTCCTAAAACTTTGTCATAGTGAACTGGGGAACTTTTTCCATGCATCACACCAGAAGGAACGCGAATAATCTTCCCTGTAACAAAAAACATCAGCAAGACAGAAGAACAGGTCATGAAAAACCTTGTGTCCATAGAGATAAATCTAACCTCCAAAAGCCTCTCCAATGCACTGCAGACCCATGCAAACTCCGAATATTGGGATGGTTGGCCCGAGTTCCAGAACAGTCTGCAATGATATACCTGAATCTTGTGGTTCGCCTAAAGAAATATGAATGTAACTGTTAAGCTCAGAATCTTAAATTGTTAGGAGATTCAGGAAGAGAAACTTACCAGGCCCTGGAGAAATAAGTATTCCTCGTGGCTTCATCCTACAAGAGATTTTTAAAAAGGAACATCATCAGAAAATTTGTGATATGTATAATCCCTTTAGATGGATCAGAGTGAAAATAATTCATAATTGAACATGTGCTCAGAGAAGTATACCTCTTTACATCCTCTATGGTAAGTTCATCATTACGGTACACCCCAAAATGTACTCCAAGCTCCCCCATATACTGCATCAAACACTCAATTTCAGCAAGACTTGTATTCTCATAGCATGTGTTCATGCCATATTAATATAAAGGTAGAAAAATAAACTTAACCATCTCATAAGCATGTGCTTCTGAAGATTTTTTCCCCCATGGCCCATATTATTCTCACATCTAAACAAATTGTTCCTTTATATGTCCCTCATCAAAAACAATTGTTCCTTTATATGTTGTATCGCTCCTTAGTCCTTGCTACATTTTTTGCTTCAGCAATTGTAAGAGACAACATGCTCAAGACATGCAAACACAATTTTTTTAACTATATTAAACAGATTATTTCCAGGAATGATTTTTCACAACAAACACTAAATACATATCACTACCACTCATAAATGTATACTTATCATGCTAACTTGGGTAACCTAATCAAGATATACACAGATAATATTTGCCAATAATATACTTTTGTGGTTCCTGTTACATATTAAAATAACCTTTAACAAGTCAATTTTGTCTAATTTAGTGATCCAGTTTAAGTGATACATGTTATATCGTTGTGTACGTTTGTTTTGGTAGAAGATTTTCTGAACCATTCTAAATGACAAATACTTCAAAAAAAAAGTCAGTACGCACTTGAAGATACTCCACTGAAAGAAACACGGAACGTAACCAAATCATAGATTCTTGATTCTAATTTGGATGTTCCAGACAAGGAGTGCTACACAGAAAGGGCGTACTTTTAAATGGAAAATCGTTTAATAGTTCTGAGGATCCAACTTTGTACTTCTAATAAAATTTCTCTTGCGACTTTGGTTGCCAATCAGTTATCATCCACTGTCAACATTGTTTGGGACAAACTACTACTCGTAGATATTAACATCATCTGTGGCAGATTCTTGTTACTTCTCAAATGTAAAAAAATATTTAGCAGATTCATGTTACTTTCTCAAATGTAGAAGTACATTCATGTAAGATCTCCAAACAATCACCTATAAAATCATTTCATCTTAGTGCAAACAAGACAGGTGAAACAAAAGTAAATTATACTAACAGAATTCATGACTTTCACCACTACCTGTGAAACCATATACCTGGCACAGGTTGTAGGTAAAGCTATCGTAGTTGTCGATAACGATGATGGGCTTCTTCACTGTTGACCGGACGGACGTCGGTGCCGGCGCGGCTGACCCGGCGGCAGCGACCACCGGCTTCATGGCCCTCCTACCACTGAGGGCCAACAGGCCTTTCTCAGGACCTGCGGGGTTTTTGGGAGGGGATCCAGCCAGTCAATGCAAGATACGGTAGACCCGCGTCGAAATGGAGGCATAGAACATGGAGCGATTCGTACGGTGAGTCGCTGGATGGCGCGCGAAACCGGCGGCGGGGGATGTCGCCGCAGAGCGCAACGCAGTGCTGGTGGTCGCCGGTGAAGAGGCCATGGCGAGGTGGGAGC